ACATGGTGGCGGTGCTGGAAATAATTGGGCATCTGGATACCATCAGGGTGAAAAATTACAAGAAGAAATCTTTGATATTTTGGATAGAGAAGCTGATGGTAGTGACAGCTTAGAAGTAACTATATTATTCTTATATTTTAGTATTCTAGTAATATGGAATTCTAGTCTGATGTTTATAATATAAGAATATTCTTTATATTTTTAAATATGATTTTTTTTAAGAATCATGGAATTTGTGTAGGGTTTTGTTTTGTGCCATTCAATAGCAGGAGGTACAGGTTCTGGCATGGGATCTTTTATGTTAGAATCTCTTGCTGATAGATTTCCCAAAAAATTAATTGAGACATACAGCGTTTTTCCAAATCAAGATGAAATAAGGTAAATATTTATTGTTTGAAAATTCTTTATATAATATGTATGGATATACATACATTATTTATATATTTATATACATTTTTTAAAATATGAGTTTGATATGCTCTGTTACATCCTGTATATATATTATACATACATATATATGCATGTGTATATATAGACATACTTTTTTTGTTACAGCGATGTTGTAGTACAACCATATAATTCATTGTTAACATTGAAAAGGCTGACTCAATGTGCAGATTGTGTGGTAGTTTTAGACAATACTGCTTTGAATAGAATTGCTTCAGACAGATTGCATATCCAGAATCCCAGTTTCACACAAATTAATAAACTTGTTTCAACAATAATGTCTGTTAGTACAACCACTTTAAGATATCCTTCGTATATGAACAATGATTTGGTTGGTTTGATTGCACCACTTATACCAACTCCTCGTTTGCATTTTTTAATGACTGGTTATACTCCACTTACAACGGATGAAGAGGTATTTGATGATTTAATTATTACTTATTTCATATTTTCTTAGAATAGAATATAAAATGTAAAATACTTAAAAATATTCATTTTATTTAATATTTTCTATAACAATATCTAATAGTTAATACTTTTATTTACGAAATGATGAATTTTATGATGTGGACTTAGAAAAAAATTAATTCTATTTAAAAATGTGTAATTGCATATTACAACTTTGTATATTGACGCATTTGCAAAAAAACTAACATCAGAAAAAATCAAATATTTTTTTCTTTATTTAAAGAAAAATTATATTCTTATTCAGATTATTAGAATATAAACACCATTTATTTAATTAGAATATAATCACATTTGATGTTTAAATATGTCTGTATAATTTTGTAAATTATTGGGAAACAGGGTGCGTCTGTGAGAAAAACATCTGTCTTGGATGTAATGCGACGATTGCTACAACCGAAAAATATGATGGTTTCTACTGCATTAGACAGAAATGCATCTCATTGTTATATATCCATTTTAAATATAATTCAGGTAATATTTTAGAAAACTTTACTTATTCAAGAAATTCATTTATTAATTTGTTGTTTCCTTATATCAAAAGAAATATATTGCTCCACATATAATTATTTTAAATAGGGTGAGGTGGATCCGACACAAGTGCACAAATCATTACAAAGGATTAGAGAGCGAAAACTCGCGCAGTTTATTCCTTGGGGTCCTGCTAGTATACAAGTAGCACTTTCACGAAAATCTCCTTATATACAAAGTGCACATCGCGTTTCTGGTTTGATGTTAGCTAATCATACTAATATATCATCGGTAAGAATATTGGCTGTTAAAACTTATCGTCTAATAGATATATCACAGTACAATATAATATAATATATTCTATATTTGAATTTAAAAATTGATAACTGTGTTTCAGTTGTTTGATAGAGCCTTACAACAATATGACAAATTGCGTAAACGCGAAGCATTTTTGGAACAATTCCGCAAAGAAAAGATGTTCGAAGATAATCTCGATGAATTAGACAATTCACGAGAAGTTGTAGACTGTTTAGTGAAAGAGTATCAGGCTGCGACTCGAGTCGATTATCTTAGTTGGAATCCAAATAAGGCAGATACATAAGTATGCAAATAATCAAACCTTTTTAGTGTTTCCAGTTTTCATGTTTTATATCACCATTATACTTATGGTTGACAGAATATTTGTAGGATACTATTATCACAATATTCATTCTCACAAAAAAATATTTGTTAATATAATTAATAGAAATGGTTTCTAAATTTTTTTAATTATGGATTTCTTGAGATGGTAACAAAACTAATTTACGAGTTTTAGTTAAGGCTCCTGAATAGTCGCCGTGGCCATATAGGATCGTGACGTCACAAGCGAGAAATGATACGTTAAAGTTTCTTGCATGACATTTGTAAATAACAAGAATTATAAATAAATATAAAATATAATTTCAGGAGCCTTAATTAATCGCTACTTAAATGCGCATTGCACCTTAGTATTCCTCAATCGTTTATTCATTTGTCTGAATTTCTACACTGTAAATGTATTTCTTTTTTGCGTGCATAACTAGGGGGTAGAACAGCAATCGTAATAAAGCCTGTATGGCCAGGTGATGAATGGGAGTGAGTAACTGTAAGAAGTTTTTCTTCTTGTTTTTCTTTTCCGTTCTTGTGAATATCTTCAGTTGTGTGCTATAATAGAATTAAATTTTTCATTTATTATATTCAGGTTATTCTTTGAAATTTATTCAATGTTTTTTCAATGTCTTAAAATCTTTTCTATCTATTAAAATATTTTACAAGAAAATATATTAAAATATAAAATTTTATAAAGTTGTAAAAGCATGTTAAATTTTATATTTTATATGTCATTAATCCATTCAAATATTCAATATAATATTTACATTGATATACTATAGTTTTAAATGAATTGAATATTATTTTAATTTATTTTATTTGTATCATATGCAATTAAAGATTTTTTATTAGTAATGATAAAGTATACCAACCTTGTGTTTCAAACATTCTAAATCTAATATTGGCAAAAGCTTGTACTGAACATTCATTTCTCTTTGCAAACATTCGTACGTATGTAATTCTATAAATCCTTCACAAATTAATTTTATGCAAGTACGTTGAACTTGTTCGATACAAGGAGAAAAGAAACAAAGTTTTCCACCTGTTGAATAACAATTATATATCATACATTGTACTATAGTAATGAATGTAACACTTACAATATTATGTAATACATGTATTATATTTTCAAATACGCTTATATGTATTAATGTTAATTCAAATTACATATATCTTTGTGCAGATATTAAAATACTCATCTTAGAATATTTACTGTCAATTAAAATTCTTCATAAATAAAAGAAAATTAAATTTTAAAAAATTTCACCTGCTTTTTTTAGAGCAACTGTAGCATGCTCTACAGCTAACCATGGATGTGGAAGATCTAGAAACACTGCATCGACTTTATGTTTTAATTCTTCTCCAAATCCTTCTAAGCAAACGTCCTTTTCTTTCAAAGTTACAAAATCACTCAAACCATGTTTTTTAAATTCTGTGCTAGCAATAGATACACGTTGTTCATGAAAATCAAAGGTATACAAATGGCCACTTGGACGTATTGCTCGAATTAATGCATGAGATAAAGAGCCACTACCAGTACCTACAATTGATTATGAATAAAACTGTTTTCTTTCAAATATATGTGCGTGTATCAGCATAATGTGTATATATGCGTATGACGTACCTGTTTCAATTACTATACTTCCTGGTCTAAGTTCCATTAAATGTATAATGAAACTTATATCTGGACTATAGATAATTTGAGTTCTATGAGGTAGTATCAGTGTCCAAAGTTCTGGCGTTGGCTGCAACACATATGCCCAGCCTCGAGTCAACTCGACTTTTGAACCATACTTTTGTCCAATGAGTGATATGACTCTTAGTGCACCATATGTAGTATTGAACACATTGTCTATGATTTTGCCCTTTTTATTGGAAATTTTTGCTTTTACTTCCAGAGGATGCATGTTGTTTGGATTTAAATATAAAATAACAATGTCTCCATCTTCTATAACTTCTTTAATTTTGTTGAAACTCATTTCGTAATTGTTTATTTCAATTTTCTTCAATTCCAATACTGATGAAATAATATTTATTAGATCCGTTTTTGTAGAAAACAAAAAAATCTGTTAAAAAAACGTATAGAATCATTTATACTTTGTTTATATCATAATTTATTATTTCCCTCTATTTGACTATTATTAATCAATTCTTACAGATTACGACTAGCATAAATAATCCTTACTACTCTGCTCTGTAAAGCAAGATATTAATTGTTAAGTTAATGACTCTGTACAGGTTAAGAAATACACGTTGTATCAAAATCAAAATACTATGGCTGCAAGCATGTGCCATGTGTCTGTTCGACTTGCTTACACTTTTTACACTCAGCGTTTTCGCTTTCTCTCTTTTCAGCGCCAAATACATATCTATCTCATTTTTTTTAAGTGTAAAAAGTGTAAATCGAACAGACCAAATGATGGAATTCCATTATGGCTGCAAGGTATGTTCAGAAATTAAGCCTTAAACACAATAAATAGCACAGGCAATAGAACAAAATAAATTTCAACCTACCAGAAACCATTCTAGTATATATAATTTCTGATAGAGTAAAATCTCTTATTTCCTATTCTCCTTTTTCTCTCTCTTATTGCTTTAAGACTTCAGACTGTACACGAAGGAATAGGAAACAGAAAATAACAGAAAATTTCAGAATAAGCTTATCAGAAATTGTGTATTTTACATGGTTTCTGATAGAATGAAATTTTTGTTCTGTTGCCAATTCCTTTGATTATGCGCAGACCTTTATGTTCGTGCCGCATCACACATTGGAAATGTTCCACTAAATGAGCCAAAGCCATACAAGTTGTATATACCAATACGCGAAATTATGACTAAAAATATTGTTAATAAATACAATCAAAGATGATAGAATAATAAATAAAACTAAAATCCTTTCAATTTGATTTTACTTTATTTTCAGAAGCATTTATAACATGATACAAAATTTGAATCGATTTTTGTTTGACAAAGATTGTTTCAAACAGACGTTTAAGCATACATAACGTGAGTACGTATGCATTAGTCGAATAATCCAAAACCCATGTCATCGTCTTCTGAATCTGATTCTTCCTTCTTCTCTTCCTTTTTCTCTGCAGCAGGAGCGTCAGCAGCTGCAGCTGCTGGAGTTACTACAGCAGCGGCAGCAACAGCAAACTTGCTTGGATCCTATAAACAATTCCATTATTCTTAAATACTTCTCGGTCATGCCAATTGCACGTAAAGTATCTACATTATGTTTAATTCAGACTGCACTTTCGTGCGATATTTCAACAACAATCTTGACGTGTCAATGGGTTCAACTATTTCTAGCTATGACACGTGAACCAAGATCTTTAGACGCGTAATGTTTTCATCATTATATTCATTCAAGAATAATTAGAAACTATGAGATATAATGTATAAAATCATACCTTAACGTATTCCTTGATAGTAGTAGCTTCCGCAAATTCAACCTCAGTAACAGCAGCGACAGCTAGCAAGTTCTTGAAGCCGTTTACAATACTATGTGGAGCGCTAGCGACTGTAGGATAACCAATCATCAAGCAAACTGAAGCTAAATTTGCGACTCCTGCCATGAATTTTTCACGTAGATCTTCAGGTTTGATGTCCAAAATCTCAGGTGCAAAAATAGTACCAGAATCATACACTTGTTCAACCAGTAATCCATAAGAAAAAGGCGAGATATTCAGCATGTTCAAAAGTGTGGCTTCGGAAGCTCCCACCTTATCACCAGGTTTAAGGATATGAACATCATTCTATAAAATGTGATATCCAGTTATTATTACATTTATGCAGAATGCGTAAGACAGAATTAAATTTAAATAAATCGCAAGTACTTACTATTATTTCAATAGTACCCTTAGAGATCTTAGTTGGTATACTCAAAGCTTGGAAAAAAGAAGTTTTCTCAGGACCAAGTCCTGTGTTTTGTGCAGGAATGATAACGCTTAAGGGTGCAATGGCTCCTGCCCTGGCTGGAGCACGTACTTTATTTTCCAGCAGTTTGTCCCTTACTTCAATCAAATCACCTCGGGTGAAAACAAATCCAACATTACCACGAATGTGAGGCAGTAATTTCTCTAATGCTGCGTTGCGTTCTATATGACCACGAATGGCTTTTCTCATCATAGTATTTTTGCCCATCAGTACGACTGCGTTTCCACGCAGTGACATACGAATCTGTTGCATTTGCTTTGAGCCGACATTGTCCGCACCCACAATAAAGCATTTAGGAAAATCGTCTAATAGTTGCTAATATTTAACAAAAATTATTCTAATAAGTATTTTTTTAATTATAAATTTTATAAATATAAAAAATATATATGTATGTATATAAATTATATATTTATATTTATAAGCAATTTATATGCTATTAGGTTATGCATGATGAGATTATAAAACTAAACAATGAATACAAAACGAAATACTTACAACAAGTTTAGTAAAGTAATTTGACTTCCATGTTGCTTTATCCTCCCTACCCATCTTGAATAGTGTGGTAGGGATACCTTATGGGAATTTAAGGACTAGAAATGGTTAAAGATTTAATTTAGATAATGTAGAAAAAATTGCTATTAATATATTTTTCGGATAATAAATACGCGAAATATATTTTTCCTACATATTATTCAGAATTTTACAAGTTTATTCTCGCAAGTATTATTTATATTTCAAAGTCTTATGTCTCTCAAATTTTTAAACGCGTATTTTTCTCATCAATTTACTGCATGCTTAATTAAAAAATATAAACGTAATCAACACGCCACATGCTCTGAGCTAACAAACTTTTGATTATCTGAAGGCACATGGTATCAATAACTTCATTTCGAGATAACTTAAAATAATTATATAATATACAACTTTTGTACTATTTTTATATAAAACTACAGCATCGAAGATGAGTAATACAAATTAATCATTAGAGTGATATTGTAAAAATAACGGATCAACGACTCTACATACCTCAGCAACGTACTACAGCACAGTGGAAAAGGAAATGGAATCGTCACGATCGTCTCGGAAATGAATGTTGTAGCAGTGCTGCAAACTCACGCTCGCTTGCAATTAAAACAAGTTAAAGGCCGGTATTCATAGTCGAATATTGTATTCAAGACCGTATAGTATTTAAAAAGTTATCCAATCAGAGGGCTGTATTAGAGTTTTAAGACGTTACTTAAGACAGTCTTGAAGTAAGAACGGTCAAAATCACTAGATATATAAAGCATTAAAAGAACACGGAAGAAACTATACAACCAATGGCTGCATTCAGCAGAGAACAACAGTTTTGCAATTATATAAAGTCCTTCAATACGATTGGTTTATATAGTTAGATCTATAAGGAAACAAAAGCAAGAACCAATCGTATTGAAGAATTTTACAATATTTGTAAAGTTGCTTTCTCGGCTGAACGCAGTCACTGACGAGATATTATTAAAGACCGTCAATCCTGGGTAAATTTTCGGCGGTATAAAAACGGCCCTCAAGGGTCCGGAGGTAATTGAAGAATGCTGACATTATCGACAATTGATATAAATTTGCTATTATTAACATAAATATTTGACTTATACATTATTAAATTCATGATTATATTACATGAATATTCCATAAATAAATATGCATACTTAAAAGCTATAACATTCTATATATTGCAGAAAAATTTCAATTTTTTCTCTGCAGTTATCATCTCTGTTGATAATCAAACTTTGACGATAACACTAAAATTATAATTTTAAAGAAAAATCGAGTATTATTGAGTATTAAATGCATAAATATGTCTACTAAACTAATAAATCATAAAATTAATACAATATTATCAGTTTTTAACTTTTAATTACTTCAATATTCACATGAATTAGAACAGACATACACCATGACATCACATCCATTTTTGACACTACAATTTTATCGACAGTTTCGCAAAATAGATGTGGTATCTAGTTCCCATATCACAAAAATGAACGTTGATCGGCTGAGTGTTATATGAAAAACGCTGAGACGACCGTTCTCAAGTTTTTCTCTGACCCGAGACGTAAGGAAATGTGCTAACGCGGATGACTATCACGTTTGAAGGATTGCTGAGAATATTGTTCTAGATAAATAACTTTGCGATTTGGCCACGTGTCTGATAAACGGGTCTATATAAACCTGGAGAATTACCGGAAAAGTTCTGAGAAAAGGTTAACGACAGAGCTTACGCCTTCGCATTTTTAGGTATTAATCTGATCTGCGGATCCATATCTTATCCTGAGGTATTTATCTTTCTGTTTCTTATTCAGTTCTTTTGACATTGAAGACGATTCTGATTACGCTATGATACGGCAAATAAAAATGGAACCGGAAGCGATATTTTCTGAGGATGATCTCATAGCACAGCTGCAACAGGAAAGTTCTGATCTGGAGGTCGAGCCTAGTTTCTCGTTGGAGAACTCCCTGAATGGAGATTATAACAATGAAGGTGTTATAATGCAGCACATGGACATTAGGGAGCCCTTGTCTGTGTTAAAGACACTCCTACAGGAAAGGCTCTCTTTAGATTTAAGAAATTATTCATTTTGGTTACAAAACGCACAGATGGTAAGTGACAAGCATAACACAGAATGTTCTAGATCTCGATGAGTCCCTGATTTAATCACTTGTTCGATTACAATCTCGACAACCGTTATTAGCTCCTAACATCACTTTAAAATGAGTTATAACTGAGATAACGAGGTTGTAATAGTTTTTAAATGTGAAGTGTTTTAAGGCTGATTAATTAAAATGTCGGAAATTATAGTAATTTGTACACTTAGATAATGTATAGATATTTTCAAGTATTAATTCTGTTCTTGAAATTAATAATAATATAGTTCTGTACACACATGCTTTTACTGTTGTAAAATATGTTTATGTCTTAATGAACTTATGGATAATTTAAACGGTTACCTTTAAGTAATTTTTTTTTTTAAATTATTATAATCTTGATATATATTTTTTATTA